ACAGGAGATAGGAAAATTGGTGGAGGTGCGACAACAAGGATTCGAGTGGACATGGACATGGACACGGAAGTGCGAAATGGAGCTGGAGTGAGGGACGAGTGTCATCAAAATTAATTGCAATTAATTCTTTATGTCCGATGCGTCCGGGCCAAAAAAAAGGATAAAAAAGGAAAAACCGCACAACAACAACGACAGACAGTGACAAAAATAACACCCAAAAAGGGGACAACACAAACACAGGGACAGGAACACGCACAGGAAGTCAAACTTACACAGAGAAGGATTAAATTTGAGACAATTCGATGAAGAGAAATCTGACGGAGACATGAATTCAAGGAATATATTATAATTATTTAATAAAATTAATAACAAAATGTATAAAGCGAAATAACCCACAGAATCTTCGAATTTTGAACCACATAAGTAATATATGCAGATATATATATATATATATATATATATATATATATTAGTTTCCTGAACTTTCTTGAGGAGAAATGAATTGAATGGAAAATATTTTAATTGAAATAACTCCAGAGGATCTAAGAGTTTAAAAACAATATAATCAATAATATATATTACTATTGTTTATATAAGTTTCCTGATCTTTGAACATGTTCTTCTAGAAGATTTATAATATTTTTATATGATTAAATACATAACACTTTATGTTAAATACAAAAGGCTATTGCTGTTAGATGTTAAAATCCAGGACTTGAAAAATAATATAATGTTGAAACGTAATAGATATCAAAACAAATCAAAGAATAACTATAATTACTGCCCTTCTTGTAGATATATAATTATTGATCTGGCTTATAAATGAACCTGACACCTTCATGTATTAATAGCTATATATATAGTATATGTATATAGTAATTTTTGTCGCCGTGCACATTACACACATTGAGTAAACGGAAGATGAGTCAGTCACTTTATTTGGATAGGATAATGGAGCACACGAGCCGAGTCCTGCAGGAGTTTGGGGACCTATAAAATAACTGCGCATTGAAGTGTGACAATGAAATGGAGAAGGCGCACCAGCCCCATTCTCTACCCCAAAAACACAACCAACAATAAAAAATTAATATGCCAAAATGTGGAAAATTGTACGGCGCGAAATTTGCTCTCCTCTCTCCCCTTTTGCCAGGATTAATTTTGTGGCCCTGTGCGTATTAGCAGAGATTAGACATGGATCATTAGCTTTGAGTGGGCGTCTCAATGGAAATGGTAGAGAGTTTTCCCCCAAAAAAAAAGAAAAGATAAAAGAAAGCAAAAGAAAAACACGTGCTGACCGATTTAGGTTAGGGCTGCTGCCCCTCAGAATTATTCGCCTGCTTTGGGTATATATTGTCCTCGGTGGTGTCACGAAATGTTGTGACAACTTTTGCTTGGCGAAAGAAACAGCAAAAATTTATATACAAAATTGGAACAAAAACTAAACGCGATACTACACACAACAAATCATAACTTTTGACGTTTTTTGGGTCCTTATTTATTAGGCTTGTCATTGCTTTTATCTGTATGTTTTTGTTTCTTTCTCGGTTATTTGTTTTTCTTGTTATTTGGGGTTTTTTTTTTTGTTTTGTTGTTGTACCAAAAGAAAACGTGGGGGAAAAAACGCGGCGGTTTCCCCAAGCGTTCTGGAAATGTGAAACCGCGCGCCTCAAAGTTAAACCAAAACTGAGCATTTAAGGACATTTACGATTGATTTTATACCGAAAAGCAAGTGGACTCCGAAAGCCGAAGCCGAGTGACACAGAAAGCGTTCGTGTATCCTGCGAAGGAAGCCCGAATTTAATCCTAACTTTCCCGAGGACCCTATTCGAATGAAGAGCTTTCGCTGCATATCCTGAGCACGGGGGTTTAATTCTCCGACTCTCGCAAAATCCAGCAGGTTGTTTTTGTGTTTGGCGCGCTTTATTAAAATTACATTATGATTAGGCCACGGCACCATGTGCTTAATTAGCTTATTTCATTATTACCAAAAGGTTCGAGTTAACAACCCTCATGGCTTTCCCACGAAATAAACAATTTGAACCTAATTGCTTTTTGAGTTTAGCAGTAAGCTAAATGGGTTTAAGGTTCTGAATAGTGTTTGCTTTTGAAGTCATTAATATTAAATTAAAATATTATATTTAAGTGCTAGTTTTATTATATTTAATAATACTCTACTAATTACTATAAAGCACTTTTTTCTCTTTCAATACACCTTCAAGCAAGCACTGCTAAATATTTAAAGTATATTTACTATTTGAAGACCTCTCTTTAATAGTCATTAATACAAAAATATTGAAATAAAATTGTAGTAAATGGTTTAATTAATAAATTAATTAGCTTTATTTTCAGCAAAATATAATTTCCTTTAAGTAGTCATCAATTATTATGAAATGATTATATACATATAAGAAAATACCTTTTCAATGGCATTTTTAAATAAATAATAAAATATAATTGGTATGTATATTTGAATTATTAACTTTAAAGTCAATTTAACTTTATTTATATAAATTAATTGTTTAATAAATAATCTTCAATCATTATAGAATGATTAATTTATAAAAAATCTAGAAATATCATTTCTGGCATGAACAAAAATATATTATTTTCTTTATTAGAGTAGACATACATTTATCAATCATTAATTTATTTCTCCCCCTAGCAACATCTAAAAATCTTGCATAATTATTTGAAACGTTTTGCCAAAAAAAAGAAACAATGGCCATAAAAATCTAAAAATAGAAACGAATTTCTATAAGCAACTTTCTCCTCTATGATCTTTTGCAGCAAACTAAGCGATTCATTAGAAAACTACCACTTGGCAGCGCCCTTCCATCGAGGTTCCATGGTGTAATGGTTAGCACTCAGGACTCTGAATCCTGCGATCCGAGTTCAAATCTCGGTGGAACCTGAACGAATTTCTCTTTTTTTTAATATTCTACAAAATAAACTTAAATATTTTATATTTTGTTTTTATTTCAACAATGAAAATGAAATATAAAAAAAACATTTAGAGAGCTGAGAGCTTAGCCACTATTTTTACTCTACTTAGACATGGCCAAGATCAGCTAGGTTCCATGGTGTAATGGTTAGCACTCAGGACTCTGAATCCTGCGATCCGAGTTCAAATCTCGGTGGAACCTGAGACGTTCTTTTTTTCTACTTTTTTTTCTATATCATAACAAGTAAAAAACGTATTTTGTTATTTTAAACAAGAAAAATTGGTAAATATCTTAAGAAAACCAGTTGACTTAGCACGTGTGTTCTTGGGGAGCTTTGGGTTTTAGCGAGCTTTCAAAGCTCAAATTGTCAACAAATACACGTGAGAGAACGAACCAAGAGAGAGAGAAAGAGACCCGACCCCGAAATATACAACAAATTATGAATATAAACAATAGCTGAGTGCAATGCTATGAATGAACGATTAGGCAAAGGGCAGTTACCTTTTCGGCACTTAATACACTCACCTTTATCGCGAAACAACTGCTTGTAGGTGGATAGATTTTCCGAATCCAGCCATTCGTCGACACTGGGAAGGGTCGGATCCGAGCGGGGGCGTAGGCGGGATCCGAGGACCAAATCAATAGCACTATTTTCACCAGCGACACCGTGAACATTAAGCTCAAAACTAACGCGATCAGCACTTTTAGGGAACGTTTCAACATAATCCTGTCAGCTCCCAGTTGCAAAACGAAATTAAATCCACGTCAAAATCCGAATCCAGCCGTCACCGTTAGGCAGCAGCAGCAGCAGTAGCAGGCGAGGATTCTTATGTTGTGCACCAAACAAATAACAATAAATGCCAATGGCAAACGAAAACTAACCATAGCCAAGCGCGCGCGTTAATTTACTTATCTTCTATTTTGATTAGTTTGCAGAAAAAAGCGCAGAGGTGCGAAAAATGCAGCGAGAGCGAAAAATAAATGCAATTTTGCTTTTTTGCATTTTTGTTATTGTTGTTGTGCGCTCAGCTGCAAGAACATCGATGTTTGCTATCGATACTATCGGTGTTTTTGAATAAGGTGGCGCAAAGGTTTAGTTTTTAAAAAATTGGTGTCACGCATTGTAATTTCAATTAATTTTGTTGATTATGAATTGTACTGGATTTTCTTTTTGTTACGCTTTAATTTGTCAGAAAAAAGGACAGGACATACTGATATAAACAACGTAATCAAGCTACGTAAATGAACAAAAGCGTAATCACAGAGAAAAACAGCTGTTTAGCTGAGACACCAACCGCTTATCGAATTTCTGCTCTAATGGCTGCCACGTACGTTTTACTTTAATTAATAATAAATTACAAGTTTACCAAGCGAAATTTGAGTTACAAAACTAGATTAGATTAATAAAAAAAAAAAAAATAAAATATTCTCAGATTAGGTTCCACCGAGATTTGAACTCGGATCGCAGGATTCAGAGTCCTGAGTGCTAACCATTACACCATGGAACCGCTTGGCAGACTACTGTCAAAACTCATAAAGGTACTACGCAAAACAAATAAAACGCTTAAAGGGCAAATTGTTATCTTGGCATATGACTTTTGGTATTTGAAACTGTTATTAAATGCGTAGTAATATTATAGAAATATATTGTTGTGTTATTTACAAGCACCTGCAATTGAGATATTTGCCATACATATATAAAATAATAAACATAACTTTGCTTTAAATATTTTTTTAAATTAATGAATTTATTAAAAAAAAAAATTAATAATTTAAATAGAAAACAAAAAGAAAAAAAAATCTTTCCAAGGTTCCACCGAGATTTGAACTCGGATCGCAGGATTCAGAGTCCTGAGTGCTAACCATTACACCATGGAACCGCTTGTTTGCGTGCCGTCAAAACCGGCTGTCATTTTTCTTTGGGCCAATGATGTTACTTTTTTTGTGCCAAGATGAGCAGCAGCGCAGTCTTGGTGAAAGTTTTATCTCTAATTAATGCTCAACCAAAATCAATATTAATTTGCTTTTCAAGATTTATTATTTGTTCTTCATGATTCATTTTTTTTTTTTTGCGATTTTACAAGCACTTATGACTAATTAGAGTTGCCAGCGCGCGCATATTCCGTTTAATCCGTTTGCAGTTCCATTATCACGAGTTGGGTTCGATTAAGTTCTTAGCCGTAGTAGGAGTAGGGAGATGCATAATATCCGCCGGAATAGGCATAGGGACTAGCTCCATAGTAGAACTGGGGGGCGGGTTCGGGGCTGGCAATGGGAATGGGTGCAGGATTGGCACGGGGCAGCGGAGCTGGGGCAGGAACGGCCAAGGCAACGGCGAACAGAGCGGCAAAAACAACAACCAGCTAAAGGGGAGAATTTATATGACAAAGAAAGTATTGTTTATTTAATAACTATAATTATAGTAAGCTAGTTGTTGGAGAAAGTGTTGAACAAATTATTTATCCAATAAGGATATCTTTTCCTTTTAGTCCTTCAACTCACCAGCTTGAACATTTTGTGTGTTTTGATTTTGTCTTGAGGACTTGAGATGCTTCTTAAGCGATTGATATTTGTGATTTGATGCTGGTCTACACCTGTCAGCGATCTTATATAGGTCCTCAGGCAATAGCAAAAGCAAAAAATATATATAATAATATAAATTCGCACTCATGACTTATTTATAAAGTCGCACTTCTAGACTCTGATCGGATTTATGGCCATTTCTGTTTTGCTCACATCATTCTGGTAATAGTTTCGATTTTTCTACTTTTTGTGTGACCAAAACAAAAATTTCCTTGCGCATTCTAATCACTTCTTATTCTTCTCTGATGATGATGATGGAATCACTATAAGCTATAGACTTGGCCTTGAACGTGATTTCAGGCTCAGACGACGGGACCAGGTTATAATCTCGAAAAAACGCTCATTGCATTTTAATTGGGAATTTCTGGTCTCTAATTTGGGCTACCATTCAGTTGATTAATGATTGCCAGACATTGTCGGGTGTACGGAATAAGAGTGCTATAGGATCGGAATCGGGATCTTATCAAGATGGCACGAGTTAGGTAATGGAATTAATATGCAGTTAATTGTTTGGAATATTAAAAGGATATTGCAAGAGTTTTAGAATAATTAAATTAATTTAGATTGAAAATTTTTGACATTTATTAATTTTAAAAAATTTTATATCATAACTACTTGTGTAATTGTAACCAGCTAAAGCAAAGAAATTCATTAATGCCTGGAAATTGATGGGATTATATTTTACCATACCAATTGTCTTATTAAATTTTAGATATATGAATGGGATAGTTATCTTTTAAGGCCCTTATATATTATAAAATAAATATTTAAAAATAAGAACTCACTTTTATTATTAAAGATATTGTTTTATTATTTTTTTTTTGCAATTTGTTCTTGTAGTAAGAAACACTCTTCCTTCAAATAAGATTGGATTGGTACAATTTGAATATATATAAAAATAAATAATTTATGGATTGGTACAATTTTGAATTAAAAATATATTCTAAACATATATTAATTTTTTATTTATTTAATGATATTAGATTATGTGTATTTGCCTATTAATTCATTTTACTTGTATACAGAAGACTAAATAAAAGCATGATGTTTTTAATTCCTTAAGCAAGAAAATATATGGAGTATTGAGATTAAAAATTATTTTTAAATATTTAGGATATATCCGGCATTAATACTTATTCAAAATGAATATTTAAATTTGTGGCTTTTAATAAAAATCTTTTGAATTATTTGAACTACACAATTTTATTCAATGATTAAATGTAATCAAATAGCTCTACAAATAATAAATCCAAAAACAATTGTAACACTTATATATTATTTAATTAATTAGCAACTCTCCCACTAATGTTATAAATTCAACATTACACAACTCTTACGAATTTATTTTATTTTTATGAATTTGTTTTTAAATTGATTTCTCCTCGACCGGAACAAATCCTCTTATTTTATTCACTCAGCTCCAAAGTGCAAGTGTATCACATACACAAAACAAAATTGCCAAATCATGTATAGTATTCTTAAACTCCCAAATCGATCGGAATGACAATATAAAGCCAAATGTTTGCCGCTGGCCAAAATCGAACCCGAATCGAATCCCGATAAAAAAGAGTGAGTTGACAAAGAGACGACACACATTCCGGGACAGGGAATGGTTTTGGTGTATGGAAAGCGGATTTCTGGTGTAGGGAGGTGGACACTTTTCGTTGTTGTTGATGTTGATGATGATGATGATGGTGATGACAACGATGTGATGTCGTCAGGCAAACAGATTAAGAAACAATAACGCTATTTGTGCGCAAAACATTAGGCGAACGCGTTAAGAGCCGTAATGAGCCATAAACTTGGCCAGCAGAATGCATTGGAATATCAAATCGAAAACCCGATGCATCAGAAAAAAATATATATACTATGAAAGAATCGGCTTAGAATCCCGTAATCCCCCTTCGAAAAAATGTTTGCTGCCTGTTGAACGAATATAAAAGCTGGCAATTGTGCAAACATCGAGTGTAGTTCGATTCTGTTTGTCAAGTCGTAAAGCCTTAACTCTTCCAACATCCTCATCATGCTGAAGCTGGTGAGTGTGTTTGCCTGCCGAAGGACCTGCCTTTGATATCGTACGAATATTCAACGTGGCTTTGCCCTCCAGGTATTCCTCCTGTTCGCCGCCCTCTTGGCCGTTGTCCTGGCCGGTCCGGCTCCTGCTCCCCTGCCCAATCCGGCTCCTGTGCCGCAGTTTGTCTACTCCGCCGGCTATCCGGCCGTAGGATATGCCTCTCCGTATGTCTACTACGGTTGATACAAAGTTTGGATTTTGATTTCACTTAATAAAACCCTTTTGTTTTGCACCTGAATATCTCTGAGTGTGATTTTAAAGGAATCCTATGGGGAATTAATGTATAAATGTCAGTGGTATTTACTATTACTACTAAATAAAAGCTTATGACGAAACAATGTTATTTATTCGTACTAATTACTGACCGCTTTGTGCTTTATCATTAGTTATTAAAATAGGTTAATAAGTTCAATTTTTTTATATGGCATGTGGTTTTTTTTTTTTAATTACTTTGAATGATTAATATAATAATTTAAGTATAACAAAAATATATATAATTAATTTTACCATAGTAGTTTTATTACAGTAAGTTACATGGTAGAAATGTAAATATTTGGATACCGAATTTCGGATTTCGAATAATTTTAAAAGCTTTATAACTATTTCTGTGTTAGAAAATATATTTTATGGCTATGCTTTAACTTTACCTTAAACTTTTATTTTGTTCACCTTTTATGGGAATAAATCTTTTATAATTTGAATAAAAGTAAGCCGAAACTTGGTTTTTTATACCAGATGTGTACTATATATAACAAATGAGGTCAGGACTCTAACTGTTATAACATATCTTTATAGCAACCTTGTTCAAAGTTCACCCCTGTTTCACACTTTCTAAGCTCCTTTCTTAAGATATAGCTTTTCATTCCGAATATCCTTGCCCCTGCCGAGTCCTTGGCAACATTTCGAACTGCAAATTGTGTGGAAACAAAAACTTGGAAACATGTTGCTCGGTTGGAAAATGCCGACGAAAAGTGTGCCAACATTGCGAAGTTCGCAGGCAGAAGAAGTTTTCCCTTTTCGGGTTCGACTTCCTGGCCATGGCTGTTGGCAATGGGAAAAAGGATGCGGCAGGACGAGCGATGACTTCAGTGTACTTCTGGCTTTGCAACGGTTCGAACGTGAGCACGGAGCTACCGGAATCGTAATCAAAGGATCCGCGATTCGGAGGAGTCGCTCGAGGACTTCGTAATCGTAATCGCTCTACAGGACTTCGTTGAGCATCCGTCGACTCTGTCCTGCGGTGCACTTTCAGTCGAATCTCGACATTCGCCTGCAATGGAACAGGGACTCGCCACCGGTGGCTGTTGGAAAACCCAAAAGTCGGCCAAGTGAAAAGCGCGAGAATTGAATGTGAAGCGTGGAAAATCGCCGGCAGGATATTACCGGATATGTCCTACCCGAACCGCCTCCTCGCGCCAGCTGAGGACTTCCTCAAGTGCCAGTGCTTAAGAAGAAGATAAAAACGAACCGCAAAAAGAGAAAAAAAAACACAAAACAAAAATAAGAGAATAGGAAAATAGCAAAAAGCCAAAATGTTGGCCCTGAGCAGGATGATGATGTCATGCCGCCGCTGTAGCCATTGTCCTGGCCAAAGTGAAAGTGGTGTTGCCGGTGACACATGAGCGGCTCAGTCATGTGCCATTATCCCTCAAGTGAACAGCCTCGTAATTAACTGCGAAAGTCACCGAAAAAAAAAAAATAGAATAGATAAAAAGCCGAGCCCAACGTGCAAAAAAACTCGAAACGAAAAAGTAGAGATTTAGTGAAATTAACCATTAAGGATTATAGCCAAGTAAAGGATTATATAGCCGCTCTGAGCCATGGATACTTTGATGGCGCTCTGCTCCTTGCTGTTGCTGCTTCTCACACAAAACGGTAGGATAATCTCAGATACAAGTTTGTTTTTAAAGAAAAAATGCAAGAAAAAGGATTAAACAGGAGAAACCGCTTTAGACACAAACTCTTGCTTGCTTGCTTTTGGCCAAAATTATATTTTGCTGCATTGTTTTTCTCCTCTCTTTGTTTTCATAATAATGAAATTCAAAGCTGAATGCCAAATGAGTTTATTTGTTTTCTTCATAACTTTTAGCTCTCTTTTGTTTGAATATTATGAGAGTGAACTGCAGAGTGTTTTATGTGGATATACCATAGAGTTTTATAATTTCTTAAAATCATTTATTAATTATGTGGCGTAAAAGTTTTAAAAAGTTTTAAATGATTTAACATTAGGAGGTGTTTGAATGGGGATATGAGGATTAATATTTAGATATCCGTTGATAAAACAATGTTAAAGAAGTTAAATGTTATTTTTTGTGGGTTTTCTAAAATGTATTTATTTCGTATGAAATTAAATAAGTACTTAAATAATCAGATATTTTAATTTAAGATATAAGAGTATACCATATTTACTGGGTTTCTACCAAGATACAACCTTTTATTTATGTATTAATTAAACAAAGAATTTAATGCAAGATAACTATGTTTGTCATTATTTTGTACAATTTGTATATTGAATATTTGAAAATTTATAAGTATTAAATAAGTGTATTTTATATTATTAACTAAAGAGGTTTTCTTTTAGGCTATCTTTTTTAATTCATACTTTAATTTAATAAATAAAAGAAGACCATTATTACTGACTGCCCAAGAAAAAAAATATACCCTTTTATTTATATATTAATTAAATATAGAATTAAATGTATTTTTTTTAGTTAAATATTGATAAGTAATAACAAAATGTATATAAATTTATAAACTTATATTAATGACACCTTTTACTTATTCCTTATTAATTCAAACAGCCACACTAGCTTTTTAAAATATTTTTAAAATTTTCAACTTTAAAGTTTAAATCTTCATCTTTGTTTTTAAAAAAATTGAGTAAAACGTTATTTTTTTATGAAACTTATTCAAGTTTTTGTTTAGTTTCATGTGTTCAACCGAGCAAGACAAATATTTGCTTCTTTTCTGTTTGCCACAAATCTGCTTTCAAATGTAGTGGAATCAAAGGGAAGAATTTCTTTGGAACAACTTTTTTTCCATTTTTTTTTTAGATGAAACTTCTCTTGTCTCTGACCAAACAAACACACTCGCAAAAGGAAAAGAGATTTTTTATTTTCCTTCATATTTTTTTATTTTTGCGGCTACGCAATGTGGCATGGAAATATTACACATACGCCCCTTGCGCTCTCAGCCCAAAAGTATGCAGTGGAAACGCGTGGAGAGGAGGAATAGGGCCCAAGTGATACACTTCTAAGCAAGCCATGTGTGAGGAGAGGCCTTTGTGAGTGTCGAAGGAGGAACCTTCACCCAAATTAGCCCATGGCCATGTGGCCCTCGAAGATGAAACGTTTCATGGGAATCATGAGAAGGAATTCATTACGGCAAAGGAATAGCGTTTGTCGAGGGGGCAAGTGACGCAAAGCGGTGGGTGCAAAAAAGGGCAAGTGCCCCAAACTCAAGCCCCTTGACAGGCTTTGAAGTGCCCAAGAGGGCAACGGAAGTCACTTAATGGGCCGCAAAAAAATATGATCTAAAAACTACACAACATTTTGAGGACCTATCTGAAGAGAAATCATGTTCAATTTATAGTTTATAAAAGCTAGAAAATGTCTATTTAAACTGCATTGTTTTATTGATTTGTTTTGTTGAAATTTAAATAGCTTCTTAAATTTTAGTTAAATATTATAAAATGTGTTACGTTTTATTTTTATAGCTTAAATTTCAATCTTTTCTTTAGTAAAACTATGAAGCATTTCTTACAAAATTCAAAGCAACTTCAGTTTATTTTAAGAAATAAAAAAAGCCTTAAAATATATAATTTCTTTGATGAAATTGTATATAGTTGAAATACAATTTCATCATACAAAATATTCCCTAACAAAAATATTCCAATTTCATTAAAAAAAATATATAAAATATGAAGCTATGAAAATATCCATAACAAATTCATCTTTCAGCATCTTTACATTTCTTACAAACCTCTTGCAGGAAAATAGAAAACTATGAAGAAAAACAACCAAAAATGGAAGAAAAATATAAATTTATGCATAACAAATTCAGTTTACAATGATAGAATTACATTACCTTTACGATTTCACTTACCCCTTTGCCTTTTCCCCCTCCTGATCAACTCAAGCTTGATTGATATGCAGCGCACAAAGGACCTAAAACCTTAACAATTCAATTGCAGAAAATGTACCTCCATTTATATATTATGTGTGTGTGTGTGTGTGTGCATATATTGCTTACGAATCCAAAATGGCAAATTTGAATTTTTATTGAATTTATTTGAACATTTGCTGCACACACACCCAAACACACACTCTCTGTCCATCAAATAAAATATTATTAAATTCAATTTGATGGATTTGTTACTTTGCTGGGCAAAGAATTTCCCAGGAAGCTTTATTGATTGAGATGAATAAAAAAGCACAAATTGATAATAGATGGAATTTTGAAAATCAATTGGCCAAAATTTGTTACAGTAGCCTCTTTGGCATATTTATTCTCAATAATTTATTACATTTCAATGTGGAATGTGGAATTTTCTCGCTTCAGGCATAAACCATTTAGGTAAACTATTAGATAAAATAACTTTTCAATTGATTCACAAATTAAATATACATATTTTCACATTCAATTTGTTTCTTAAACTCTGGCTAAGATTTTATTTATAAATATAATTCATTTTTCATGCCTGGAATTCCGTTTTGTTTTAGCATTTTCAGTCAATAGAATGCAACTCAATACTTGGTTTCTGATTTTTAATCAAAAATTCTATGCCCAATAGATTTATTTGCAGAAAAGTGTTAAACTAATATTGGCTTTCTGCGATTTCGAATTTCAAATAAATTTAATTTCTGCCCCTGCATGGTGCCTATGGATGTGATTAGAAATACAAACGAATTTGATCTTTTTTCCACATAGTTTTCTATATATATTTCTCGTTTCAATTCTTTTTTTCTGCACAAAGGGACGCCGAGTGAAATTTTAGCCAGAATAGCTGGGGAGTCAAGGGAAATGTCAAAAAGGGTTTTTTCGGTTGCTGAGGGAGGCGTAAAAAAATAGATAAAACAAAAACAAGATGTATTTCCCGGAAGCCGAAGTTGATATACTCTTGCAGTTTGCAATTAAATTTTAGAATCGTTTTAGAATTCGAGTATAAATAAGCTTAAAATATTGAAATTTGATTAATATATATTTATAGATAATATATATGAAAGTTTACAATTTTAAAAATCTCATAACTAAGTCAAAAAATCATTAATTTTAATTTGGATCCTTATGCTAGTTTTTATTGGGTTACTAAATCTGCATACTCAATTTAAAATTTAAAAATATTCAATTTTTTTCAATTCTTTACAATTTTAACGATGTAACCCTTTATATTTTGTTGACAAAATTTCGAAAACTTTGTTTTCAACCAAACTTATCTAGATTGATTAGACTGTTAATACTGATCAAGAATATATATGATTTATTGGGTCTGAAATGATTCCTTCACTTTGTTACAAGCTTCTTGCTAAAATTATAATACCCTGTAAGGGTATTAAAATAGGTTTACGCGACGGGGAATTGGGGTATTCCCCGCTTGGGGAAAGCTCATAAAAAAAGTGGTGAAATCATTGCGAAATGCTGCCTAAAAAAGGCAACACAACCCATTGGTTTTAAATTAATTAGTTTTCCTAAAACTTAAATGAGTATAGACTTTAAATGATATATATATTATATATATATATATATATTATTATATATATATATATATATATTATATATTTTATATATATATATTTAATATATGTTTATTCATTAATATATTTATTAACTTCTCATAATTAATATGAATAGTTAAAAGGCTTAGATATGTAATTATTTATTTCATTCTTTATCCTATGTTTTGGAATTCCTTGTTTACATTTTAGTATTTTTCTTCTAACAAATATTTATACAAGTAAATATTTTTGTTTATATTTTTGCTGTAAGACCCATTTTTCAATTAAGTTGTTTCCCTTGTAGTGCTCTCAACTTTTTCATTTCCATAATATCCTTCAAACAAGTAATGAGTGCAAGTGCAAGAGAAGAATTTCCATTAAAATATTGATGCAACACAAGCAGAAATGGGACTAAAAAAAGGAGGCAGAGTGCAAAGGAAGATGGGTTAATCAGTTGCCTTGCATATTTCATAAGAAATATAAATGTCTATGTGCAGAGGAAGGATTCATTCATTCATTCACTGGCCACTGGCAACTGGCAACTGACCCACCCCAAAAGCTAATTAAATTGAAGCCGAAAGGGAAATAAAAGCCTGGATAAGTCCAGAAGAAAAAACATAATGTTGGCCTGTCCATATAAATTATGATTATTTTTTATGACCTCAGCTAGCCCATTTTGTATATCATCCCCGCCCCTTGAGAGAGTGATAAATTTAATGGAAAAAGCTATGCAATTTTTTGCTCACCTTCTTTTCTTTTTTTCTTTTTGTTGTTTTGTTGCAGCTGCAATCCTTGGACAGCTGGACGGTGGGAGCAGCAGGGGGAGTGGCAGCTCACCGAATGCCAGGATAAACGCCGTAACACCACCGCTACGCCTGCAACCGTCGACGCCATCAATAACGCATTTTGTAAATGAGTCCTTCATCATCTTCTGCCAGACAGTACAAAAGGATATCGACACCAAGTGGCGTGATCCCCGCGGCCAGACCCGGGAGAACACCAAGGGGCGCGTCCACATTGAGAAGAAGACGGGTAAGTGGTGGCCAAGTAATGACCCAACGGAGTGGCGACTGCCACACACCACCCACATTATCCACCGCATAAAGCCTGCACCACTCCACCATGGACAGTGACTGGCTCTCCATGCAAAAATATATACAGCACCTTGCACTTTACAACCGAACATAAATTGTGGTTGGAACTACTTTAAAGTGAATTATAGTAAAGAGCCATATTAAATCATTGCAAGAATAGGAAACTATAGTCTCTTTAAATAATAAAAAAATGTAGAATGTTAGGAAAGAGTAATAAATTATAGGAAAAGTATTAAAACTCTAGGAAAATGAATTCATACATTTAATAATAATACTAAAATGCAACCAAAGTAAAGCAATGTTTGTATATTTTGTTTTAGATGTCTCTAAAAAAAAGTTCTAGTTTAATATAGTTTACTTCACATATAAGAAATGTATATACAACGAAACTAAATATTTGATTGCACAAACTAAAGACTAGATGAAGTTTGTAATTAGTTTATTAGAATTAATACAAAAACCGAAATTTCGATGGCAAGAATTATTTTTAATCGGCGAACGGGAACGAAATAGGGTTTACTTCTTTACTTAACAATTTTAAATTGGACATTTTACCCAAGATAGAGTTAAAATCACAGATTATTCTACAGAGAATTTTATATATTTTTAAGACTAATTTTTTGTAAAGTTTCTGCATGTTTTAATGAAAATTCTATTAATCTAGGGTGCTCCAAAAATCACTATTATTTATATAACCCCTTAAAGTTTGTCTAAAATTATAAGTTATTTGATTACCAAATTCAAGGCAAATTTGTTTTCCTTTCATGCTTTAAAATGTTAAAGCACCATTTAAGGGTTCCCATGAATATTCCACAAATTCATTTTAAATAAATTTCTATAATGCTATAAAAATATTTCAAAATTATTCCAAATACTTCTAATCATTCTCTGGTTATTAATTTTTCATATAAGGTCTGCTGGCCCTCGTTTTTGAGCACATTTCATTGGACGACATGGGCAACTGGACCTGTGAGGTGAACAGCATTTCTAATGGAAATCGGAATGTGAATGTTGAACGTGAATTTTTTACCTCCTTCGAGCTGCTCGTAAATCGTAAGTTGGCAAACGGGCTTGGGGGAAACTAAGTAAAAAAAAATAAGAATAAAAGAAATGAGGTCGTAAAAAATTGCTGCTGCAGGATCTGTTTACTTGCTTACACAGTTTTGTGATTTTGGGACTTGGCTTTGGCCAAGAACTGTCCAAGACAGGGAAAGAAAACAAAAGGAAAGGGCCAAGATAAATAAGAGATTTTAAACTTGCCAGATTGAATTCTTAAATATTTAATCATCATTCTTTAAAGATTATATAGGAAATAAATATTTTTAGTATAATATTGCCCTTGCAATTATCACCGCTTGGAAGAATCTTGAAAGCATTTTCTGTAGCAATTTAACCACAATTCCAAGAAACCGCAAAACCTTTTATTTTTCGATTCTGCTAAAAGTTTCAAAGCAATTTCCGCCTCAACAGAAACGACAAATCATTTAATCTATTTACAAATCAGAATGAGTACTTTCCCAGCCACATTTAAAGTAACTAGATGAACTACTACATAGAAGGACACACAATTTGTCAACTTACCAATCAAAGGGAGACCAAGTAAACAGAGCCTGTAAAGGATATGGCTAGCTGACTGTACATGGGAATGGGGCATATCATTGACTGCATATTTACACAAGGAATTTGAACAACGCATCTACTGATTTTCCCTCTAACCGGGTTTCCTTCCCCCAACCCCCACATTCTGATTTTCACCCACAGAGAAAATCTCATTTGGCAAGACGGAGCAAGTTCAGTCGGTGCGCGAGGGACGCGATGCATTGGTCAATTGCTTTGTGGAGGGAATGCCCAAGCCGGAAGTCTCCTGGCTCCTCAATGGCGAATACATAAACAGTAAGTTTATACACTTGAAGAAAATATTACTAGTTTATTTTATATTAAGTCAATTAAATAGATTTTTCATATTACAAGAGGAATGCATTAATAAATAGGAAACCATTTCTTTAAATCATTGTTATAATTTGGTTAAAATATAGTTCTCCATGATTTTAAATCATCTTTAAATCTTTGTTATAATTTGGTTAAAAGATAGTTCTTCTTGATTTTGTATTAATTGTAAAATTATTACAAATCGATGACTTTTTTATTAATTTGTTAAGTTAAGCTACTTATAATAAACTAAACTTTCATTTAACATGCGTGGTTTAATAGAAAAATAATATTTCAACCAATTTCAATCTCTCAAACTCTTCAAAACCTACCCATATTGTGTGTAAATAATATTATTGACCTCAAAAATAGTTCTTAAAAAATCCTGGAAGTCCAAATTTTAATATAAAATATTAAAATCCCATTGCAATTAAATAAATTTAAATGTTTTGGTCCAGAAATTTATTGATAAATAATATTTCAACCAATTTCAATCTTTAAAACTAACAAAAACCTAAACATATTTGTAGGTAAATAATTTCACAGACTTCAAAAATAATTCTTTAAAAATCCTTGCATTCAAAAACTTAATAGTACACTATAAAAATCCCATTGCAATTAAATAAATTTAAATGTCTTGGTCCAGAAATTTCTCAATAAGCCAACGCAAAACATGTTAACTATTCCAACAACATTATTTTCTCCCTTGCGATCCATGCTCGAACCGTTCTCAACTCTCGTCCTGAACGCATCCTTTTTTGTTTTGCAGCCGTGAACTCATCGAAACACAGTCGCCTGTCGAATGGACTTTACATCAAGAATGTGAGCCAGGCGGATGCCGGGGAGTATACATGTCGGGCGTTGCGTATAACACCGACTTTTTCGGATGCCGAACAAATAACGATATTGCTAAGGATACAACGTAAGTGCCATGCATCCCATCTCAGGCTTTGTATAGTATTTTACTGACTGGTCAGCCCCCTTGGCAGGACACTCTGTAAGGACATGCAATCCCGCTACGTGCCACACTTGATAATATTTAATCTAGAATTTATTTCGCACCCCACTTGTTGGCAATTGCATTCCCCCAACATCTCGGGTTCTTTCCCTTGAAAATTGAGCTGAGAGTTTGCAACCAAATCTTTTGCTGATGGCAGCTTAAAGTTATTTAGCCCTCCCCCTTAGGATTTTCCCCCTTACTTGGGGGAAAACGGACTGAACATGCTCCGTTGGCTATAATGAGATTTTCAAGCAGCTTCAGGCAGCTCCATACCTACCAATTGAAGTTATCCCCATGGCACTGAGTGGGTCAATTCCTGCCGGATGTCAGGGTCAAGTGGCTGGGAAATGCAAATAATTGATGCAAATTTCGTAATGAACATATTACACGACTTGCAATCCAGCTGGGGATTTGATTTTGGGAATGGTTTATATAAAAGGGAATTACCAGTGGTTCCAAGTCAAGGAACTGTTTGAGGAGTAAAAGATTATTTTGCAGGGAAATATTAAAGAGAAGATCAATTTTAAGGTATTAGGTTAGAAACTAACAAATCCATCTTTGCAAATGCCTAAAGGGTTCACTTTTCACGTTGCAATAATTTCTGGAATTTGCCAAAAAAAAAAAACAATAAAAAATGATCCTTTGGGACTCGTTTATAATGCTGACACTGACCGGGGGCAACAGAATTGATGTTTTGCCATCGATATTCGGACAACATATGGCATCATAAACAAACCGACACCAAGGCAAGTAAATAGTAGCTAGGGTAAACTTCATCGCAGCTTCAGTTTATTCATCCTCCAACCGGAGAATTGAGTTGCCGTCAAAATTGTACTAATGACTGCCGGACCAAGGTTTGCACAGACCAGCAGCAATGCACTGAGAGAAAATAGAGGGGGGTTTAAGTTGAAATAGTTTGTAAAATAGATCAAGTATGGTATATCGAAGTCTAGCCTTTTTTGTCTAATTATTTTTGTGATTCTTAGGACTGAGTTCTTTAGAAGAACTTTGTTTTAAAATATATTTAGAAAATACTGATGTAATTTACAAAACTTTATTTTTTAATAATTCTATATAAAAAATACTTCTGAAAAAACAAATCCAAGTGAAAGAAAATTAGTTAGGGAAGCTTGGAAAAATAATCAATCTGTGATTGGTTTGTATTTTGAGTTTTCTTTTAAAATTAAGTAAAGTTTGGTTCAGTAATTGTATTTCATTAATTCATTACTAAATTCTGCATACATTTTTTAAACAATTAATTGTGTGGCACAATAGGTCTTCATTTCGAATTTCTATTGAATTTTCTTAACGTGTAGCTAAGACTAACCAAGCGAATGAATCCTTTGGGCAGCTCTGCTGGCACTGCAAGGCAAACAGCCGGCGAATGGAAACCGAAACTAATTTGCTGCCCAACAGTCAAGGCAATGGCATACACCCAGAGTTACCCACCAAATTCCCAGCAGAAATGTCAGAGGTTTGGGTTGGGACTCCGAGCAGGACAGGAGCAGAAACTGGAACTGAATCTGAAACTGGGGACCAGCAGATGGAATGCTGCACAAATGCTGCAATATATAGGTTTGCATTTCCTTCAGCAATAAACTTCAATGAGCCGCAGTGGCGATGATGGGGCGACAAGGCAACAAGGCTACAAGGACACAAGGATACTGGGATATTGGGGACAAACGATGAAATGCTAAAATGTTGCCATTACCCAACGCCTCGGCGGAAAAAGGATGGTGTCCTTCAAGGGGGTTTTGGTTGGTTGGGTTATCTCACCATTTATAGAGAGGGGAGGAAATTAAACTAAGGATAGGGTAATTAAAAGTTAATTACTTTTGCTCTCAGGATATGTCTTTGGTAGTTAAATAAATAAGTAAAATAAATAAATAAGTATTAAAGAGTATTATTTTATATAAGAATATTACATTTATTTGGTTTAATTTGGTTAAATTTTTAACTTAATGAGTTGTTTGTTTGTCTTGCTAAACTTGATAATACAAAACATATATGTCTCCTTACTCCGAAGTTACTTGCTTCTCTTAAAAATAATAAACTCGTTTATTTTCTTAAAAGTATCACTTATCTACCAAATCTTACCCAAAGGCAAAGGAAGTTTTCCCAAAAAAAAGGATAGTAAAAGCTAACAATACACAATTTGTAGCAGAGCCTGATTCAATTTCCTCGACACTATGTACATTTTTTACTCGCTTTCCATTCCTTGGCTCTAGGTTATAAACAAGTTTTTGTTATTTCTTTTTAAGGAGAAGAAAGTGAAGGAAAGTTCCTTGCATCGAGTGAAAACCAAAATGGAAGAGTAAAAGAATGACAGAACTCTATTGTTCAAGTGATTTGATTATTGCGGTTTTTTTGTCTCCTCAATTTGTGAGCAGCCAGCAAATGCGTTCATTTGGTTTTGAATATTTTGGATTTTAATATTGAGCATATTCTTTTAAATTATAAATTGTGTTAATTTAAAGTTATGGTTAGCTAGCTGCAATTTTTAAAGAAAAATTTAAAAAAAGAAAAGACTTGCCGGCTGGTCCTTTTCTGAGTCCCAGTGGGGGACTTTCCGTAGAGACAAGGACAAAGTGAAACATATCTATATCTATCCCCCATACATTTCTTCCATTCTGCCACCTTTTCCGAGAGTGTGAGCTGATGTATGAACAAATAAAACTAGGCCGAAGTTTTCCCTACTCAATATACGGGCTTAAAAGCTAACACTTGACAAAATTACTTAAAAGAATAAGAATTTAAATAAGGTTATATATTGTTAGATTCATATAAAATTATTTTAGCTAACAAAAAAGAAAGCTAACTAAGAGAAGGGTCCCATAGGATCATAAGTTCGAAAGTGAAATCAATCATAATTAAGCTAAATACATTAATCTCAATTTAAAAGCTTTTATGTATTGACTTTTACTAGGAATGGAAAGTGCTGTATTACTTTAAATTAAATAATGGGTTCCATGTTGATAAGGGAAATAATTAGAAAAATAAATACGTAGCTGATTTCCTCCTAGAGCAACTCTACATATAATTAATATAATTGTCATGATTAAGACTTACCCCAATAGAGGACACATGGTTATCCATTCTCGTCATTGCTTGTGACTTTAAGTAGACTTCTCATGGAATTTGTGATCGAAGTGAGCTTCTTCCTAGTAATATAGATGTAATTAATTCGTCTGATAATCTTCTTGGAGTCGGAGGGTCAATCACTAATCACTGCCACTAATCACTATCGATGTAAACACTGCGACGGCCACGGACTATATGAGGCGCGCGCGACCTCAGCACCTGTATTTATAGTCCCCGAGAGAAGAGAGCACAGAAAGTGAGAGCGGAAGAGAAAGTGGTACCTCTACACATAGGCAGAGAGAGTTAGAGCGAAAGGGCTGTCGCTAGAGACACACAGAGAGAGATGCACATACTAAAAACAATAGAGAGTTGGAGAGAGAGAGAGAGAGTCAGAGGGAGACAGAGTCAGGGAGATAGAAGGAGGCAGAGAGTTAGAGGCAGGTATTTAGAGGCAGAGTAAAAGAGATGCACTTTGATTATATTACGCTGCAAGGGTATAAATATATGAAATTCATAATATATTAATATTAATTAGAACTTTAAATAAGTATTTAAATATACAAATGAATATTCTAGGAGAACTTTTCTTCCAGTGCCCCACACACACACCCACACTCACTCTGCTATAACCTCCACTTTACACCTCTCTTCCTCTGCTCCCTCCTGCAGATAAACCCCACTGGTTCTACAATGAGACAATGCCGGTGCAGTTTGCCTATGTGGGTGGGATGGTCAACCTGAGTTGTGACGCAATGGGGAGCCACCACCATCGTTCACCTGGCTGCACAACGGCAAGGGCATCGTGGGCTTCAATCATCGCATCTTCGTGGCCGACTATGGGGCCACGTTGCAGCTGGAGCTGAAGAATGCCACCCAGTTTGGGGACTACAAATGCAAGGTGGCCAATCCTTTGGGGATGTTGGAGCGAGTGATTCGATTGCGACCGGGTCCCAAGCCAAATGGACCAACGCGCTTTAAAGTCAAGAGAGTCTATAACAATGGCTTTGAGCTGGATCTAAGGACACCGCGAATGGATAATGTCTCCGAACAGATGCAGATCTATGGCTATCGGGTGGCCTATATGAGCGAAAGCGAGTTCAAGTTCACGGCCAGCAATTGGAGTCATGCCAAGCAGAGGGACTTTTCCTTCCATCAAGGTTGAGTAAAATTGTTTTTAATATATATAATATATACAAGATTTATGATATTATTATTTCAATAACTAACTATGTATTTTGTTTTATTTTCTTTTTCCAGGCCAGCACTTTATCATCACAAATCTCAAGGCAAATACCACGTATCGTATGAGGGCAGCCAGTCGAAATCTGGCAGGATTGAGTGATTGGAGTCCAGTGATGACCTTTGTCACGGCCGCAGGATGTAGCTGGAATCCATCGCTTCTATATTTCCTACTCACCCTAATCCTTGCCACATTCTGGTCATAGAGCCTGTCCCTTATTATGATTATAACAAAAACCCTTAACCCCTAGCTCGTTATTGTTGCTACTGAGTTTTTTCCTATTTTTTCGTATATCTTCTGTGATAGAACTTTGTGTGTGCAATTCACTTGAATAACTTAAATCCCCAGATGGAATTATTAAGCGAATGCTTTTTGCTATATATTATATATAGAGAAAATATATTAGTTACAGCCTATTGCCAATTTTTGCTGCCAACTTTCATTCATCAACCGCATTTTTTGTACGTTTTTTAAGAAAACCAAAACCAGAAATTACATAAAAGACACGATTTTGAGAAGGTGAGAGAGGGGGTGGAATCCTTACGATACATACAATACATATGCATTGTCAAACTCTACCTTATAGTTAAATATGAAATGCCCAACTCTACATAAATGTTGTTCAAGCTAAAAACGAAAATAAAAAAGTAAAAAACGATATACAAGTAAACCCCCAAGAAACAAAGAAAAAAACTTTGATGAATTTTACAAACCACAAAACGAAAAAGTCCAAATTATTGATTATAAATTAAATTAAAAGGAAAGCAAAGCGAATCAATAATAGAAAATGGATTGAATTAGCTTAATTGAAGTGGAAAACCCTCCCAAAAACCAAAAGAAAAATGAAACGAGAAAAGAATAGAGAGAAATGTGAAGTGAATTCCCAAATAAAATGAAATGTTTAGCTGGTAAGACAGGGCGTATGAGTAATATGAAAATAAATTCAACTGAATGTGTATAAAAATGGCTTTGATGTCGTGTGTCTGTGTGTTTCTGGCTTTCAAAAACAAACATTTTGTTCATTTATTAAGTTATTTTTTGGTATAAAAAGAGCTGGGAGGGAGGTAAGTTATAATACATTTTTGGGATATATTTGAGTGCATTGAAATAAATACTATTCTTTTTCAGATAAATGCTTTTCATTTGAGTGCGTTTAGTTTATTTGTATAACATAAATCTGCTTTTGATAGAGCTCTCAGTCTATTTCCATTAAAAATGCATTTAATTAACTTCAACTATCCTAACGCCAAAGGTGTCATCTCCTGATGACTATCTGGTGACCTTTGTCAGTTAACTTGGCCATCAAAATGTTTATCATATTCATTAGTGCAAATCTCACATTGCTTTCGGGCCATAAACATCCGTCCAGAGGCCAGAAAACAAAAGCAAATCCTGCGGCATAATGGATGGCTCATTGTGTATGCCAAGCACGCGCCCAATTACAAGGATACTTGGCAAGGACACCACCCCCCCATATCCCTATACCCCCTTTCAGAGGGCAATAAAAAAAAGACATAATAAACTAACTCATAAAAGTCAATAAACTGTCAAATGGCAAAACATTTACATCACTTAAGCATAAATCTCTCTCCCTTTCAGCTCTGCATCCTTGCAGGATATATATATACATATATACATATATATACATATACATATATATGTATATAGAGAACCGATAAAAAGGGAAGGAGAATATATCCCAGGGCCATTTACATAAGCCCACAAATTCGCCCAGCCATAAATGATCATTAACGCAATCGGCCGCCATAACTTATTGTATTTTATTTAACTTTTATTTCAGCGTGTGCATATTTTTGTTTTCTTCTGAACAAAAACAAAAATAAAAACGAGAAAAAAAAGAATGAAAATTGTTACGGGTCAGCAGCAATTCAACCCGCAGACGTGACAACGTGAAACAAAAATAAGCAAATTATGGTTGCACAAATAAATACAATTCATTCGTTCGTGTGTATGCACACACACGCCAGGGGGAAGTGTGTGCCACGCCCCCTTTTGCACAGTGGTCGATTATTAACACACGATTTATTGGCAATTTTTCAGTCACACCCAAAGAAATGATGGAAGACTCTCTGCCAAGTTGGCCTTTATGGCGGGTGTTTTGATTTAAAGCTTAAGAGGTTTTAAGTGAGATATTTTCAAGGAAAAGCCAAAGATAAAGATGATAAATTGATCCCAAAATATGTTTTCAAAAATCTTTAAGTCAGTCATAATTTTATTGTGGGGATAAGGCTTTGATATATAAGATAAACATTGAAATTTATGGGGATTAAACTATTTTTCAAAAGCTTAATAGTTACTTAAAGATTTATTTATTAAGATATTTGTATAGTCTTAAGAATATTATATAGAAAACAGTATAAATTATATATTTAAAATATATATATTATTATCTTAAATGTTTAATTAAGGCAACATAAGTTTATTTAACATCTTAGCTCACTTTAAAACTTCACACAACTTCACAATTAGAGTATATACAAGCCCCAACTTTAAAGCCACTTTAAACATAAAACACTTAAGTTTCCATTAAAAATTTGAAGAAATTCTGAAATTCTGAAATTCTGAAATATAATACTACACCTGCCGCCATTCATTAATAACCAAAAGTGTTAAAACAATCAATGAAAGTAGCATTTAACTCGGCATTGCTCGTGTCTCACGGCAAACATATGGAAATTAATCGTTCTGCCGCAAACAATCACTTAATGGTTGATATTGAAACCGGCCACGCCCCCTTTTAAAGCCATAAGTTAACCGACTGATCAAAGTCCGGCCGCCCTGAATGGCGGAAGATGTCAGTTGCAGTTATTGCAGCTTTTTCCCCACCAACTGCAGTTGCAATCTTTCATTGTTTATAATTATTTTTACCTCTTTACCGTGAGTTTCTTTTGGCGGGCAATTAATGGGATTTTTAAAAATATACTTCAGCATACAAATATATATAGTATATGAAGGTATGTATGTATATATGGGGATAAGGTGGAAGCTGTGTGGAAAATCAGTAAACATTATTACCTGAACATCAGCAGCAGAAAGTTGCTCGGACCATCTCGTCCTTGCTTGTTTCTGCTCTCTCTCTCTGTTCTGTCCGTAATCGTTTCGGTTTATTTTAATTAAAATTTACAATTAATACTTAATGAGTCGGGCGAGTGACATCAACTGCTTCCAAACTGCAGCAGCAACATCAAATTGAATTTCTCATATAAGATTGCAGGTTTGAGTGGCATGTGGCACATCGGCCAAAAAGTGCATGATAATTTTCTGAAAAGTAATTTCTGCTCAGATTGAATATATACATGCATATATATGTATATGGATAAATGTATATATATGTAAGCAAACGGAGACTGTTTATTGAAAGGTAAGGCATCTGGGGTTGCTTCTTTATAAATAAATGAAATCTGTCAGCATATTTAATCGATGAAATGGCAAATTGATGTTGCCCTTAATTCTGGACGTTGAAATGCAATCAAAAGTATAAAAGACACTAATTTCTCTCACCAAATTTGTTTGCTTTTCCATTGTTTTCCTTATTCAATATTTATGATGCAGTCAAGGGATTTAAAAGAGGTCTGAATTTATTTTTAGCAAGTGTTGGAATAAAGACAAATAATATATATAATTAATTACTTTAAATATTCTCAATTTAAACAGAACCCATTGTTAATCTTTCTTTAAAGTAATTTTCTTTAAAAAATACCCCAAATAAATTCCTATATATTCTCCAATTACCCCAAATACTCCGTTTATTTTTCATTTAAACCCACAGAGTGCACTCTCCTATCTATCCTTTTATAAATTTACCATTTCCTGTAATCGAATCAAAGCCAAGTTCTCGTATTATTTGTCCGAGAAAGTTTCCGGCTTGATTTAATCCTTCGAGAGCTTAGTAAACACACACATACACACACACACACACTCCAATATGGGCATAACTTTTCTAATTACCATTTATGGCTGGCTTGTACGTCCAAGTTTTTGGCTTAATTAAAGGCCCATTGGCAAAGTTATGAACAAATCATTAAACTGACAGTTTTGTATGCTTTCGCCGATAGGTGTAATAAATGCCTCATATCTAATTTATGCCCAGAAACTGGGACTGAGATAAATTTGAAATTGATTGGCAATAGCCTTGTGTATGTGTGTGGGTTTTGGGATTTTCTGATGATTGAAGTTAAATCTTAGCAAAGGTAACTTAATATTATCCCAGTTCTAAACGAAAAGTTATGAAATTTTTTCGTCTAAAGTTGGCTCAGTCTTTTCACAAAAAAATAAAAATTGGTAAAAGCTCAAACTTGGCCTAAACTGAAAGTGCTTTTCAAAAGACAGAGAGAGAGATTTTTGAGGGCAATTAGAAAGGGATTTTCGTTTCCCTTTTTCTGTGCCGAATTGATGACGGAAATATCACCTCTTAAATGGGTCAAAAATGCCAGTACTTCGCTCTATCTCTCTATGTTTTCCCTCTTTCTTTTTTTTGCAAAACCATTGACATATGCAGGCAACTATGAAAAACTACCTCCATTTCCATTGCCATTTTTCCGCACTTCAGTGTCATTGTCTCTGCCGGCTATGTATTTTGACATAGAAAACTTTTGCACCTTGTAACGACTTTTTAAGTGCCACCTCTCGCTGAAAAAAAAATATAAAAAAAGTATACAAAACACACAGAAAGAATGAAAAGTGGAGCAAAATGAATATGTAAATCCTGGACCCTTTTGGTAACACGAAAACGAAATGAAACAAAAATAGGATAGAACGCGTTGAAAATGAAAATAAATGTGAATATTTATGTGATTTATATATGCGTTTGGGGGACTTTTTCAATGGCGGGAGTTGGAACTCTCTTTTGGGGAAGGATGTTTTAAGGCCAAATTTGCATATGACTCTGGGGATGTGTGTATTTGTGTGTGTGTCTAGACAAATGAGTGTAAGCCACCCGCAGTTTCGCTTTAAAAAAAAAATATCATTTCGATTTGCCTAAAATAGCGAAACCCTTTTAGGCACAAAATTGTTGTTGCCCAAAAAGTGCAATTATTTTGCGGCAAATGAGAGAATCAATAGCAATCCGGTTCTCTGAACCACAAATAAACATTGAATACAGGCCAAAAAAGGCATTATGCGCTTATTTACTGAAACCATTGTGTTATTTAGTTTTACCTTTTATTTTTCCGGAATTTCGGGCATCACGCATACGCCGCATGGTCCGAAGCATATTAATTGAACAACTCTTTGGGCGAAAATGCCAAATGCCAAATAACACTCACACCTCCCCACGAAATACTACTATTTTGTTTCCTGCTCATGATTTAGGGTGTTGTTGTATCACCCGCTCATTATGCAAATGGCTGCTCTTTAAGTGCACTAAATATTGCGCATACGCCGCGTGTGCCCAATAGCTATTACCATTTGCAATTCATTCCAACCATTTGTGTGTGTGCTGTGTGTGTGCTTAATTCAATATTTTATTTTGATACAAAAGTTCAAAATTAAGTTTGCACTTCCGCTGCAAAATATTTCGTGAAAATTGGAAATGTTAATGAGAGAAATCTCGCGAACTGTTCAAACATTTTCACAGATAAAAGCTCTGAAAAACGACTTGCTTCTCGCTTTGTGAGCGGATTTTAATAAAGAAAATTTGGGAAATTGGGAAAATTAAACTAAATTGTAGTGCGAAAATTGATTTTTGGAATAGAAATTAAAGTTAAAAATTTAGAGGTAAGATCTTAAATCAATAACAAATATTCTCCATTTAAAATACAGGCCTTTGTTATCCGTTTATTTGTTGTTTGATTAATTTAAAATTAATTTGATTTTAATCGCTGAAATTACCACAAAACGTAGCCACTGAAGTGAAGGACATTCCCGGATAATTTGCACATGTGCACAAACAAA